GCGAAGATGAAGTTGTAAGGGGAGTATTATGATATGTGTAACTCTTTTAAACCCAGGCAGAGAAGAGATAAATTCAACTTAAATATAGAGATGAATTAATGGTCTTGAGATGAACCACGTTAAGGAAGTTAAGTTTCTTGGTGTTATTTTAGATGAGTCTTAGTCTTAGGTTGAAAACAAAATCTTCAAGTTTGTGGGCGTTATTGGTACCTCGAGTTTTCTCTTACTAAGACAGATTTGTGTACTTTAGACTATTCACTTGTCCATTGTATCTTCAATATTGTTTTTTAGTATGGCGGTTCAACTTACCTTACCCCTCTTAGCCGCATAGTCCTGTTGCAAAAACGTATTATTAGAATCATCAGTAAGAAGGGTTTTCATGCACACACTGATCCTCTATTTAAGAATCTTATGATCGTTAAACTAGAGGACATCTATTCTCTGCACCTCGGGAAATGTATGTATTATTTCAATAATAATTTAATTCGTTCCAGTTTTTCCGGATCCATTTTACGTACTAATCAAGTTCACGGTTATAACTCTCGTAGTTCAAATCGATTTTATTCCTTTCAGCCCTACTAACATAAGAAAGTTTTCTTCAATAAGCTGAGCACTTACATTCGCGATGCCCCCTCCTTATATTCGCTCCAATCCAGATTAAAAACTTTATTTCTATCTTTACTCTTACTGAATTCATAACTTAACTCAGTCTCTGTCTGGTTCCTATAAGTAACGTATCACTCCACTTCTTCCACTTCTTCTGGGCTCCCTTGCCAACTTATAATTCCTATATATATATATTCCTGAACTGTATTATATTTTGGCTAAATAAATAAACTAAACTGACCTGAACTATAATTGTGCTTAATAATATTTGTTTGATATGCGATAATATTGGTACTAGAGTAGCGCTATCTGCAGTAGTAGCCTCCCCCGCAGATGTTCTTTGGGGTTCGTCACGCGTTCATTGGAGTGCAGATAGCCAAAGCTCACTATGACATTATCTTACTTAGCTAATTAATTATTTATTGAGCAACAATTTATAAGACGATGTATGAGAATTAGCCTATTTCTCTATAACTGACACGCGTATTAAATTTTTCCTTTTAAGCTTGCTTTTAGTACTCTCTGTGTTGTTTTACGTGTTGACTGCGTATTTGGTCTCTTAGGATGTCAAGAACCCCAACCTCGTTCCCAGGGTTCTCTCCTATCCGCCCTACGGAGCGAGAGAGAACCCTCGGAACGAGGTTGCAAGATCTCGAGAATGTCCCCTCCCCCGAGATCTAAACTAAGTAATTATTCATACAGTAATTAAATCATAAGACGTTGTATGAGAAATATTCTTTGCTCACTAGGTTAGTAAAATGTGCATTGAATATCGCTTTGAAGCTAGCCTGAGCATCAGGCCTTCCTAAGGGGCTAGGCGCTAGGGCAGGGGAGATTTTCCACCTTTCCCCTTTTCCCCAGAAACCAAAGCGACAGTTTTTCACCCAAATGACAGTTATCTGGGTGAAAAACCGTCGTTTATAACTGAACCGCTAGAGTAGTGTCGTTCTTGGGTTCCTGACATCCTAAGAGGCCTGAAACGCCGTCAACACTCAAACAAACATAAAACAGTACTAAAAGCAAGCTTGAAAGAAAAAATTTAATGCACTTTTCGCTCAATTATGGAGAAATAGGATAATTCTCAAACAACTTCGTCTTGCAAATTAGTGAGCTTAAGATCCGACGGCGGCGAGATTCTACGAGGGCAGACTTGGTCGAGGGTGTTTGGGGTGAGGTCGCCGTCGCAATGGCGCGTAAAATAGCATTAACTTTAAGAAAGCTCGCGCGACGGCGGGTTGTTGTAGCGCCTTTTCCTGTTGAAGTTTAGAAATAAATACAAGAGCGATGGCTACTTTTAGAAAGGTTCGTGAGTTGTTACTCCTCTCCCCTAGCCCCGTAGGAAGGCCTGATACTCAGGCTACAAGTTTCGAGGATGGCGACATTTCAGAAGATGAATTTTTACTGTTGTATGATGTCAACAGATCTAAAAATCTGCATTTTTTTTTTGCCTTACTGAAAGCTCTTGATTAAAATTACATTGTAAGAGAAGCCGAGTAAAAAATAAACGCTATTTCGAGAAAAGATGAGTGACATAATCCATTGGACCTCAATTTACAGTCAAACCAGGTGAAGCGTTCCCGTCGCTAACGAACTTATAAATTCATTAACGGGAAAATGATTTCGTTTGTTGATTCAATAATCCATTCATAAAATGAACGATCCAATATTCATATTTTGCCTCGATTCCATAATCGAATGTTGATTCGATTACTGTTTTTTGAAAAACTACACTTTTTTTCTTCGAGTCGAGTGCGAGCGAGTTCTGAAGTTCAAACCCAAACAAACTGTTTGCAACGGACCTGACCTCTTAGAAAACACCATAGTCAAACTGAGGTCAATGTATGTGCTGTGATTGGTGGAGGGGTGGATTTCGATCCTCGGCCTTTGTCAGTTTTTTTGCATTTGCGGTCTGTCTAATCTAGCTGTTCTTTTGATTAAAGGCAATTAAAAACGCAATCGTAAACGGCAGGAAAAGGGAAGCAAATACGATTGAACTCAACAGACAAGAATAAAGAACAGGTAGATTTTGTTCATAAACCAAATCAAAATTTAATTATTGAATCGAGGTCCAATTT